GCTGAATGAGGAGCTGCATGAGCACGTAGGTGCTGGTGCTGGAGGCTGCCCGGCTCCCCGCACCTCCGGGGCTGGGCGAGGGTGATGCACAGCCTCAGCACCCCCGGGGCACCTGCAGCCTCGCCACCGCTCTCACCCTCTTCTCCTCGCTCAAGGCCTTTGACCACATCCTGGCAGCGGTGGAGGACATCGTGGGGCACCACGGCTACCATTACTGGCGGGACAAGTGAGTGTCTTAGCCAGGATCCTCCAGCAGCCATCAAGTGGATGGCGGATGCATGCCAGCCATGGGGACATTGCAGGGTCCCCGCTGCAGGACACTCCTGCTGTAGGCAGGGCAGCAGGACCAGGAAGGCTGTATGTCTGTCCATCTGGAAGGGGACTGTCTGGCTGCTGTTCTGCAGCAGACCAAGCTCCCAAAAGCATTCCAGAGAGAGGTCGGGCGGGTGCGGCTGGGCATGCTGCAAGAGCTGGCATTGCTTGCCCGTGCCGGAGCTGCTGGGGGGCTGTGGGGTGTCTCTGGTAATGACGATGGCCCTGTGCCTCCCCACGGATGGAGCTGCGCTGGGCACTGAGGAGGAAACAGTCCTGTTAAAGCCTGGGCAGTGTTTATCCGCAGCACAGCGACAGGAAAAGGATGCGAAAAGCCTGTTTCCTGGAGGGGAAGCGCTCCAGTGGGGCAGGGCCGGCCCCATCCCCGCTCCCATTGCCTCCCGCAGACCTGCTGGTCTCCCGCTTCCCCTTTGGGCAGGGACGAAGAGTCAGCATGATCCCTCCCTTCCTGCCCTCCCTGGCAGCATGTCCCTGGGCACAGCCAGGTCCTGCGTGCCCAGCCCACTTTCGCCATGCTTTGGACACTGTCAACCTTATGTGGGCAGGGGGTCCATGGCCGTGGTACCCTGTGGGAGCTAAACCGCCCATGTCTTCATCTCGTGGCAGGTGGGAACAGTTCGACAAGAAGTACCTGAGCCAGCTCCTGATGCGGAAATCTGCCTACAGGCTGCGGGACGAGATCTGGGACGTTTACTACAAGTTAAACATCCGTGATGCTATTAGCTTCGTCGATCAGGTAGGGGCATGCGGTGGGGGCTGGGCGGTGGGGTGGCCCCGACAGGAGCCGGCTGGCCTGGGGTGGTGGTCCACCCCGTGCATGGCCATGCGTGTCCCCTCTGGCCAGGCAGTGGGGACCCCCCCAGTCTGGCTGGGTCCCCACTGCCCCAGTGCCAGCCTTGCCCTCCCGCCTCCCAGGGTGGCCACGTGCTCTCAGCCGCCAAGCTGGCGCTGCCCTCCATGCCCAGCCGTACGTCCATGTCGGAGTCGTCAGTCACAAACCTCCTGTGAGTACGAGCATCCCTCCGAGCCCCTGGGCAGACCTCGCTGGAACGCCTGCAGCCGCCCCCTTCCCCGGGGGTGGGTTATGCCAGGGCTGGCAGGGGGCTGGCAGGATGCAGGCATGGAGCCCAGTATCTCCGTCTCCATCTCCCCGTCAGGAGGGAGAGCGGGAGTGGCGCGTGCCTGGACCTGCAGGTGATTGACACGGTGCGGAGCCGACGGGACAAGGAGGATGCAGCCATGCACCACGTGCTGCGAGGGAGCCTCTACAAGCCCCGCCGGCGGGTGAGCACTCCCCGGCCGTAGTGTGTGGCTCACCCCGAGGGTAGCAGCACCTGCAAGAGGAGCAGGGATGGAGGATGCTCCGTGGGGCCAGCTGCTCACCCTGTGTCTCTTTGCCTCTCCCTCGGCCAGTACAAGGCCAGCTACAGCCGTCACTTCATCTCTCCAGATAAACAAGAGCGCCAAGATAAAGAAATCTTCCGGCAGAACATGAAGAGGCGGCTGGAGACCTTCAAGTCCACAAAGCACAACGTCTGCTCCTCCAAGAGCAAGGCCAGGCTGAAGGAAAAGGGCAGGAAAAAGGCAAGCGCTCCCCAACCTGCTGCTCCATTACTAGCTCTTGAGATTTGGCCTCCCCCAGGCTGCAGACAGTGAGGTCCTCTGGGGGTTAGGTGAGGTGCTGCAGGGCATTGGCAGCTCCAGGGCCAGTGTGGAGAGCGGCTCACCTCATCTCAGTCCTGCGTGTGTGCACGCGGGCCCCGTGTGTCCACGTGTTCCCACCATGCCAGCGCTGCTGCGGGGTGGCTTTTCCCTGGGCAAAGCTGTCCCGAGCCCTGGAGGAGCCCCACGTTTGTTTTCCAAGAGCACTCAGCATAAAGTAGCCTGAACGTCAGTGCAGATCCAGGCTCAGAAGTGGGGCACTGCGCCTTAAACTGGGCCTTAGGTGTCTTCTCTTGTTTGGAGACTCTTGAAGCCATTGCAGCTGAGCTGTTTATTGTAGGGCCATGAAGATGCAACGCCTAAGGACTAGGAACCACTGACTGCCAGCTGGCATCTAGCCGGGGTGGGAATCTCTGTCCCTGGGATTACCCTGGCTTGCAGGGCTGCCTGGGTCGGGGTTAGGGGTTTGCACAGGGCAGGTCCCAGCCGGTCCTTCTTCCTTCGCAGAAGAACATCTCTCTGACCAACGACGCACCCAATGGGAAGACGCACAGAAACGTCCCCTGGCAGGAGACAGGTAAAGCCGGTGGCAGGCGAGGTTTGCAGGTCCTGGCAAGGGGACCTGTTGGGGTGGGATGGGAGCAGCCTGCTGTGCCTGCCCACTGCCAGCTTGGTGGCACGACAGCACCCAGGGTTGCACTAGCACCGAGTCCTTCTCCCATGGGTGCAGTCCTTCCCCCACAGGGTGCCCCATCCTCCAAACCAACTCTCTCCATCTGGCTGCAGCTCCTGTCCTGGTGATGGTCAGTTCAGAGGAGGAGGAGAGCGATAGCTCGGAGACAGAGAGAGAGGACGATGAAGGGATTGTATTCATCGCTCGAGCCACCAATGAGGTCCTGCAGGGAAAGACAACTCCTGGTAGGCACCGATGCTCCCACGCCAGGGCAGCTGCTGTTGGGTAGCTTGTCCTTCCTCCACCTGAGGAGCAAGGTTGCCTTGGTCTGGGCAAAACCAAAGTCAGCAGAGCATGAATGGGAGAATCACTTTTCTCTGTGGCTCTGGAGGCACGGCAGAGCCTCCCTGGTGGCTCCTGCATCCCTGGGCCAGCTGGCTATTTGGTAGTGGTCGGTTCTGCAATATTTGCAGGGCCCAGGGAGAGAGCAAGAGCTGTGCAAGATCCCTCTCACTGTCTCTCCTTCTGCATCTCCAGGCAGCCTGGATGTCTGCCCCAGCCCCTGCATCATCCCACCATCGCCCACCTTGGCAGAGAAGGAGCTACCGTGGAAAGGAGACCAGGCTGATCTGGCTGTTTACGTCTCCTCGGAGACCACCAAAATCGTGCCAGTGGATATGCAGAAGGCGTGGAACCAAAGCATCTCCTCCTTGGAGAGCATCGCTTCCCCCCCAGGCATTGAGAGCGGACCTCAGCATAGGAGATTCGCCTGCCCTGTGCTGGAAGAGCAACCCCAGTCTGCGAGCCAGGCGATGCCGGGGCAGAGCTCCTGCTTCCAATTCCCCAGCCATGTCTCTAAGGGCGGCCGGTCGCAAAGCGACAGCAGCCCGGACGGCGCTGAGCAGCAGGAGCTGCAGCCTTTGATGGCCACAGAGGAGCAGGGCAGGATGCTGCCCACCACGGAGCCCAGGTGGCTGATGTTCAACAGAGCGAGTCACCTCTGAGGCAGACTGCAGATGGGGAAAGGGCTGGGGGCTGCGGATGGGCTGCGACCCACCGACCGCTCTGCTGTCTTGCGTTGTAAAGCTTGTGTGTGTCTCCATAAACTCCAGGAGTGGCAGGAGAGCCCAGCACTCCTCCCGGAGCTGCACTCCAAGGTGGGCTTTGCCCATGCACCTACTGATGCAAAACTGGCTTCATGCTGCAACAGCAGGTACCAGCTCCCGTCTACCCAGGGAGGCACAGACCCCAAACCTTTCTTCCTCTCTGGTCCCTACACATCTTCGCAGCGCTGGGAGGCCAAAGAAGTTCCTCCCAGGGCTGGGATCCCAGCCGGACTTGATCCCATCGTGGCTGTGCTGCCCTGAGGTGTAGGGGTGCTGGCTTATGGGCCGTAGCTGCTCGCGGGTGTGGGAGCACGAGCTTATCTCCAGCCTGGCTGTGAGTAGGAGACCTCCAGGGAGAGGGCTGGGCGCGGCGGCCGGTGCACACAAGCCTGTCCACACCCAGCGACCAGGCCGTTGACTTCAAGGCGGCTGCAGTGCTGGTTCCTCAAAGTATGCATGGAGCTCAGCCGAGAGGCCAGAGATGGGTTCCTTGCCATGGCAGCTCTGCATTCCCTGGGTTATGGAGGTACCACAGAGGCAAGGCCATGACCTTCTCAGGACTGGGAGCAACGCTCCTGGCGTTTGGCTCCACCAGGAGCCGGACTAGTGAACCTGTACGCACAGGGACTCCTCCAGCACCCAGCCTGCTGTGCCAGCCTCACGCCTGTTGTCTGGATGTGTTCCCAATAGCTGCGGTGTTCAGCTTTCTGGCTTTGCCAGGAGGCAGCTGCCCTGCACATCATCCATGGCATTCATCCTGCCCACGTCCCAGCCCCTCCAGTTGCCTGGGGCCCATCAGCTGGTAGGGCTGGTCATGGTGCAAGGAGTGGAGTGAGCAGCAGGTATGAATGTACATCAGGAGCAAGGGTGATGGGTGAGAGCTGAGTGCATCTTCAGAGGTCTGTCCCCACCCCCTGCCTCCCAGCCACCCCTGGTCCCTCCTGAGAGGGTGGTGGGACCCGGTGTGTGTGGCCCACACAGTGTGCTGTGACCCCAGGGGCCAAGAATTGCTCCCCAAGAACTGCTCAGCATGCAAAAGCTCAGCCGGCAGCTGGGCACCGGCAACACGGGAGGGTTGGGGATGTTCCTCTTAGGGAAGAGTGGGGACTTGGGCTGTTGATGCCCCAAAGCAGGTAAATAACTGCCTGTTCCAGCTACGTGGGTGTGCTGAGACGGCAAGTGCCAAGGGAACATGTGGATGCACTGGGTGAGTGAGCCCAACATGGGGCAAGAAGCGAGCTGGCGGTACCCCCCGGTACTGTTAGCAAGGCTCAGCAAAGGCCGTTCTGCTCTGTACCTGTCCCACCAGATGAGCATGAGATTTTTAAAAGGTTTTTGTATAGTTTTGCATTTCTGGTATGCCTTATTCTGGTTTTGATTTCTGATATTGGGCCATACTAAATCTCTAGCTGGGTCAGTGTTTTCTGTAGCCATGGGCACCACAAATGACTCAAGACTTAATATCTTATTTGCAAGAATATTGTTTTAATGTGAAAATATATGCAGAGTATTTTGTAATGTTCAATAAATCAGAGTTGGAGCAGGCGTCGTGGTCTGGTCTCTCTGCTGTCTGGAAGCCTCTGCAGATCCTGGTTCCTGCAGCTCCTGGTTTGGTTCTCCCTCACAGGCATAGTGTCCCCGTGCCTCTTCTCCACCCAAGGCCACAGCCCCCCCTCTCAGACTCGATGTGCCTAACTGGATTTCCTAGTTTCGATAATGTTTGCGGAAAATGTGAAATTCTTTCCGAACAGAAGCTTGCCTGCAGCCGTCGTTAGGCCATGCCTCTGGGAGCAGCCAGCAAGAGGCCAGCAGGCAGCCGGGCCCTTGCTGCCTGGTGTCGTGGCTGCCTGCACAGCAGCAGAGTGCTGGGAGCCTAGATCTTCCCATGTCCATGCTCCCTCTCTCTTTGCCAAAAATATGGTTCAAATGGGTCTGTTTCAGGGTATTCAGGATCACAGGAACCTCCCTGCATCGGTGTGTGCTGGCTTTGCTCTTCCCTTGATCTGCTGGCTCCACTTCTAAAGGAGTGTAAATGTGGTTTACTCGATTCACAAGATCGATGTTTGGCTTGTATTCCACCTGGCATCTACCGTCACCCCCAGGTCCTTTTTGGCAGGGTCCCGATACAGCTCCTAGCCCCAAGAGCGTTGTACTGGTCCCTCTGGAAGCTCTTGCTCATCCTGACGTTTCCCAGCTGCCTCACATCCCACCGACCAGAGATGCTGGCTGAGCCGTGCTCTGCGTGCCGGACCTCAGTGCCAGCGTTTCCTGCAGACACGATCGCCTTGGCAGTGCACCAGGTTGTGCGAGTCAGGGTGTTTTCCTGGAAGCGGTGGGTCTGCGGCATTCGGGTCCTCAGAGGAGGAAAAGCAGACGTCTCGGCTTTGGGAAACGCTGGGGATAGTTGCTGCTGTCTCACACGGTTATCTGAGCCTAGCAGCTAATGTGTGTGCAGGCTCTCCGT